CCCCCATTCCAACCATGACTCAATCAATCCCTGTATCTCAGAGCCCTGCCGTTCCAAGGCTGTGTACATATCATCCTTTATCTCTGTCCCATTTAGCCCTTTCGAACATGCCCAATTGTTCTCCCATCTGCCCCATTTCTCCACTTCCCTCTCCCTCCTTGAACATACAGTTTTTATATACTGTTCTGATTATAGGTGAATGAAACTTGTTAACTTTTTAAAGAAAAAATATTAATGGTTATTTCTTTATTACATTTTAATTTTGCTAACAAAGCAAACCTAGATTTTTCTATTAAGTGAATAATGTATATTACAATCTTTGTCTTGATGTTACTAATATTTAAACAAATATAAAAGTAAAAGTCTCAGCTATTTAAGCTTGGGTCAATACATTAAATTTGGTTTATCTAACAGCTTTATTGAGATATAATTCACGTAGTGTGCAGTTTACTCATTTAAAGTAGGGGCTTCATATTCATAGAATTGACAGCTATCACCACAGGCAGAGAACATTTCGAGCATATTTTTATTATCTGTCACCTCCAGTGCCCATAAATCCCTGCGCCTTATACTGTCTATATGGATTTGCCTATTCTAGACATTTAATGTTGGTGTGGTGCTGTAGGATAAGCACTGTACTGCTCACCACTTTACAGCCCTCAGCAGTGTATGGAGGTTTCTCCACGTTCTCAACAATACGTGCTATTTTCTAGTGGGTTTAATTATAACCATCACAGTATAATATTGGTATAGACATATTGATCAGTGGAACAGAAGTAAAAATTTAGAAATAAATTGTTATGTAGATGTGAGTTGATTTTTTTTGTATAACACTGCAAGGCTAACTCAGTGAAGAAGTACGTGTCTTGAACAGATGGTGTTCTGCCTTGAGTTGGCCTTGGAATCAATTCCATTCCATGCAAAGGAGAGGGAAATGCTGCTGGTCCTGCTCCATCCTTCATGATAGGTTGCATTTCCAACTGTTAGAATCCTCAGGGTTTTCAGGAGTGGATTTCCAGGCATTTCTTCTTAGTTTCAGTCTGGAAGTTCTGCTGGCTCCTTCAGCATTCTAACAGCACAGAAACCTCTACTGACAGGTGACTGCAGATGAGGTGCATTGGCCAGGAATTGGAACTGGGTCTCCCATTTGGAATTTGAGAATCCTCTCACTGAGCCACCAGTGCCTCTCACTTGGACAGTAGGTATCTCATATACAAAAGACTAGACTAAGGTTTTCCCTCACCCCATACACAAAACCAGAAGTTAACTCAAATGGACCAGAGACCTCAGTGTAAGTGGAAAACCATTTGTAGAAGGAAATAAAGGAGAGAAATTTTTATGACCTGTGGTTGGGCAAAGACTTTTTAGACATAACTGAAATATGGCTGATAAAAGAAAATTTGAAAATTGGGCTTCATCAAAATTAAAAAACATTTTTTAATATTTAAAAATGTATCATTAAGAAAGCCACAGTCTCAGAAAACATTTGCAAATCATATTGCAAAGTCCTCCTAATAAAGGCCTTGTATGTAGGAAATGTAAAGATCTCTTACAGCTCAATAAGAAGATAAATAACCCAACTTAAAAATGGGCAAAAGATTTTAGTAGACATTTTGCCAAAGAATAAATATAATGGCTAGTAAGCATGGAGCTCTAGTAGCGTAGTGGTACGAAGCAGGCTGCGAGCTGCAAGGTCAGCAGTTTGAAACTACCAGCAGTTCCGCGGGAGAAAGATGAGGCAGTCTGCTCCCGTAAAGAAACCCTGTGAATGGTTGCTATGAGTCGGAACCGACTCCACGGCACATAACAACAACAACAACAAAGTATGTGAAAAGATCCTCAACTTCATTAGAGGAATAATTGTATTTCAAAGCCTGACAATACCAAGTGCTGGTTAATACATGAAGAAACTGGAGCTCTAATGAATTGTGGATGGGAATGTAGCCAGGGATACCACTGTGGAAAAGAGTTTGACAGTTAGGCTAACCCTAAACTTAACCAGACAGCCCAGCAATTCCATTCCTTGGAAGTCTACCCAAGGGAAATGAAGCTGTGTCTACATGAGTGTTCGCAGCAGAAGCAACATTTATAATAGCCCTGAACTAAAAACCCAGATATCCATTCATAGATAAATGGATGAATAAAATGCAGTCCTCGATCTCCATAAATGGAGTCCTGGTGTGGCGCTGTGGGTTAATGCGCTAGACGGCAAAGCATTTGATCTGCAAGGCTGGCAGTTCAAGCTCACCAGCTGCTCCTCGGAAACACTATACAGGGTCGCTATGGGTCAGAACTGACTTGATGGCACTTAACAGTACCACCTCCATAAATAGAACTGTTTAGTAATAAAAAGGAGTTCACATGCAATATCATGAATTAACCTCAAAAACATGATGTTAAGTGAAAGAAGCCAATGCAAATGACTTCAGATTGTATGAGTTCCATTAATGTGAAATGCGTAGAACAGGCTGTTTTACAGAAACTGCAAGCAAGTCATGGGGGTCTGAGGCTGGGGTGGGGGCTAGCCTAACACTGGGACAATGGGATTGTGCTGATGGTTACACAGCTTGGTGTGCACTGCAGCTATGGATTGCACACTACACTGTGAGAATTTTGTGGGATAAAGTATGCCTCGTATCAGTTTTCTATGACTTTTTAAGATGGAGGTAATGCCTGTGTTGTTGGGAATCGTGTGAAATTGTATAACCCCAGTGTCTGGTATACAGTAGGCATTCAGTAGTGGACAGTTGTTATTACTGTTGGTATTTAACAGCAGCATCTACTATTAGTCTGCTAGAACTCCAGAGTCAGCAACAGAGGATCGGAAAGTCCTATTGTAGAAAATAGAGACAGAGCGAGAAAAGCCCAGGAAAGCCTCATCTTGTACAGTATCATTTACTGACCTCACATTCACTGCAGGGTGAAGTAGGGCAGTTAATCCTCTTGAATTGTGAGATCATAGCAAAATCTTTCCTCTTTTAGGGGGAGTAAAACTTGGATTGGGAGATTTCATTTTCTACAGTGTTCTGGTTGGTAAGGCCTCAGCAACAGCCAGTGGAGACTGGAACACAACCATAGCCTGTTTTGTCGCCATATTAATTGTGAGTATGCATGGATAAAATGTGCCAGAATCCTAACTCCAAACTCTTGAGTACTCTGTCCCTTTAAGACAGTTTTGTTTTAACCCCAGGTGGGCTGGGTTTGCCAGTCACCTGGGGAGCTTTTTAACAGCTCAAATAATTGGACCTCACCTGACTAGCTATACACACTGGCCACACATTAGAATCACCTGGGAGCTTTTAAAATGTGAACTCTACCCTGAGATATAGTCTTATTTTTGTTTTCATTGCATATTTTTTTAAAGGTCCCCCAGGAAATTCTGATAAGTACCTCTAATTGGGAACTACTGTGGCAAACCTAATAGCCTAGATACTTATGAAAATAGCTGTGCTAGAGATCAGTCTTGGGGGTAAGCAGCTCTTCACTGAGGACTTGGTAGTAGGTTGGGGTTTAATGACACAACATGTAGCATCTGGTGTTACTTTGGGCAGCAAGTATTAGATGAGAAACACTGATGCTTAGAAACACTAATGCAATGCTTGATCTTATTCATAGGGGCTCAACATGAGCTCTGAGACTTTCAAAACCATGACTGAAGTCAGTCATTCATAAAATACTGTTTATTGTTTTAGTAAAAAGATGTGATACCTTTAGCATGAACAACATAGACTATGTGAATTAAGTTATGTGAGTGATGGGAGAGCTTGTGTGCAGTCATGTTGGTAATTTGCCATGAGATCTATAACCAGCTAGAATTTCCTTGTATTTGATTTCCCTTTTGAGGTGAGCCTTATTGGCTCATGTATCTTTTCAGAAGAAAATGACTTCTTGATAAACTGACACAATTCTCAGTTCTCACACTTTCTAGTCAGTGTTTTCCATAAAAAGTTGCTCCGTGTTCACAAGAAAGCCATCTATTCTTTGCAAGCAAACTCAGTTTGTTCTCTGAGCATGTCTTTGTGGGTTCCCACACAGCATAAATAATGGCCTTCCCTCTGGGATTTAGATAGCCAAACTAAAACAAATTATAGAGGTCAGCTCAATAATTTGAGATGGAAATGAACTTCCCCTCCCCCCATTTTTAAAAACTTGCCCATCAGGATGAGTGACCAACAATGTGTCTGCACAGTGAACTCTGTTGCACAGGAAAAGTAATGGCATTCCCTGTTATCAGGAAGCTACGTGTGCTTTAATGGCTCTTGTTAAAATTTAATGAAAACATTTATTCTAAAATTTTATCCCCAACGGATAGTCTTCCATTAAGTAAAACCAAGATTGTGATTGACTTATTTTGCATGTAAACTGCACATTTCTGAGTTTGTCTTTTCCCCTTTCTCCCCAGGGTTTGTGCCTTACATTATTACTCCTCGCCATTTTCAAGAAAGCATTGCCAGCTCTTCCCATCTCCATCACCTTCGGGCTTGTTTTCTACTTTGCCACAGATTACCTTGTGCAGCCCTTTATGGACCAGTTAGCATTCCACCAATTTTATATTTAGCATATTTCCAATTGGAATCTTATGGAGTTTTCTCCTTTGACTACAATAAAATCTCGGGAGGACAAAGGCGATGTTCCTATGTCCGCATCTAACAAACTCAAGATTCCTGGCTGGACTTTTTGCAGCTTCCTTCCAAGTTTTCCTGATTACCTGCAGTATTGGGCACTGAAAGGCAGGTGTCAACAGAAAACAGTTTTAAACATACTTTATGGTGGTGGACTGAGTCCCTTGGTGCAAAAGCGGCCAGATTTGAAACAAAATAAGATAATGGGCCAAGAAGTTGCTGTGCTCCCTCCCACCAGCAGTTTGACCCTTGGTCACAGGTAGATCTTACAACACTACGGACTCTCAGGACTGTCATCACTAAGAGGTAATGAAATGGTTTCAACCAAATTGGACTCCTCGGTTTAAACTACACCATGAAAATCCCCTTAATAAATCTATGTTCATTGAACCGTGGACCTTTTCGGGAGGTACTGTAAGGAGAAGAAGCACCAGAACTAATGGAAGAGGCACCAGCTTTTGGTGTCGGTTTCTACATCAGACTTGTCATTTTCCAATAAGATTGTTTTTTTCCCCTTTGAGTCATGTCAGGTGTGTAAGTTGATTTTCACAATTTATGTTCTCAAGCACTGAAGTCCATTACCATTGATGGTTGCCTTTTTCCCCAAGGCTTATTTGAGATTACTTTATCTTAAAAGTCAGAGCCTCAGGTTCCCAAATTCAATAATTTCTGGAAATAATCATCCTTAGGTTTTTCATTCTAGGTTTTCCAATATGTGCTTCATATGTAGACATACTTGTGAGTCCATTTGACCCTAGATGCTGTCTCTGTTCCCCCATCTCCTTTAGTCCCACCCACAAGCGTCTCTTCTCTGTGGTAAAGAAGACAGCTCCGTGTAGCAGATGACTTGGTTAGCCCAGAGTTTATTCTTTCTGTGATGCAAAGAATGTATTATGAATCAATGCTAATCAGCCTTGCTGTCCTAACTTCTCCAGTAACAAATGAGATGTGTGCCTAAAGACAGTAGAATTAAAAAGGAGTGAAATGGCTGGTGAAGCATTTTCTGTCCTGGCTCTTCTTCTTTTTTGACTTGTACATTGCCTTCAACAGTAGGTCAGAATTAGAAGTAAATAGCTCAGTGCTGGTGGTTTACAAAGTGTACCATCAATTGTACCAGAACAAAGCAAGAGTTTTATTTCCCTTAGCAAGCTATCAGGTGAACCTGGAGCCAGGAGGAGAAGCAGCAGCCAAGAAAAGGAAGAAGAGACTTTCAGCAACAGTAGGACAAAATCAAGTAATGCCCTGTGGGCAGTTGGTAAGGAGGTGAACCAAATAATTGCTCCAGAGCCTCACAGTAGTGGGTGTTTTGTGCTTTTCCATATACATTACCTTTCGTCTCAGTGTCCGTTGTGTAACTTGGGAGTAGTGGAGGTACTGGCTCAAGTTGCGGCTCTGTGCTATTCAGTCAGACCAGGCACTAAATCAGCACCATTGGCCTGTGTGCATGTGATACCTCTAAATGAAGCCTACTGGGGCACAAGCCTGCTTTTACCGCGGAGCACCCTTAGGTGTGGTGGACAGACAGTAAGCGAATCTTCATCTCCTGTGACTGCAGAAAGGCCAGGCTTCCCTCTTTTGCATGCTGCTTTCTCTTCCTGCCCATCATAAGACCCAATTTGGGGGTTGTCCTTGGCCTTTAAAATGTTTGTTTTCTGTCATAAGAAAATTCTTAAAAGAAAGTAACTTTAGGAGTTGTGTGCTGGTACTAATCTAAGCAGAATTAAAAACTCCCTCATATTAAGCAGTTGGGAACTGCAAGGAAAATTAAAGGTATGCAGAGGAGTAGGACCTAGGGTGGGTCAGGTTTCCTCATCTCGTTGTACTTTTCATGAGCCCCTTTCTTCTCTTCACACATGTGGCAACTTGGGCATCGTCTAGAAAGCACGTGTGATTGAAAGGCACCTCAACACCAATTTGAGATGCCAGCATCCTTGGGGGTGCCATGATTTCGAATAGTTTCTTTCTGCAAGGGTCCCCAAAGTGTTTTATCTTTCAGGACAAGGTTAATGTCAGAAGAGGAGGTGTGAGTGAGTCAGAGTGTGTGCTTCAGTCTGCTCTAGGTGTGGTGTGCTCTGTGTGGAAGGGTCACAGTGCAGCTGCCACTGACTCCAAGTGGAAACACTTCCTGATGAGTGCACCTCAACATACAGAAAATCCTCACCACTGGAACAATAAAGATTCTAAATGGAGTAAAGAGTGAAGTTGCCAAGGATTTCATTTTCTTTAGAACCACAATTAATGCTTATGGGATCAACAGTCAAGAAATCAGCCATATTGCATTGAAAAATCTGCTGCAAAAGACCTTTAAAGTGTTCAGAAGCAAAGATGTCACCTCGAGGACTAATGCGCCTGACCTAAGCCATGGTATTTTCAATCGTCTCATACGCATGCAAAAGCTGCACAGTAAATAAGGAAGCATTTGAATTTGGTGTTGGTGAAGAATATTGAATATACCACAGACTGCCAGAAGAATGAACAAATCTGCCTTGGAGGAAATAACAGTCAGAATGCTCTTTAGAAGTGAGGGGGTGAGACTTCATGTACTTCGGGGCCTGTTATCAGGAAAGCCAGTCCCTGGAAAAGGACATGCTTGGTAAAGTCAAAGGTCAGCAAAAAAGAGGAATGCCCTGGACAAGATGGATTGACACAGGGCTGCAACAGTGGCTCAAACAGCAGTGATTGTGTGGACAACGGAGGAATGGATTGTGTTTCCTTCTGTTGTACACGGGGTCACTGTGAGTCTGAACCTCCTCAGTAACACCTAACAACAATGAGCCACATCTCAGCCACACTTAAAACCACACACACAGAACTCATCTAAGATCTCAGACATCATTTTCAACTTAGTTCGGTAGTTCCTGAAATATCAAAATGACTAGTCTTCCACCATGAAAAATAGATGATCACCAGCAGCCAGTAGCAGTTCCACAGAGGAGGTTCCCTCAGACACTGGCAGAGGGACTAGCTTGGAGCCAGGCCAGTCACCATTGAGGAAGCATGACCAGCCGAGCTAACCTGCTTAATGAAACGAAGATTGTAGGAAGAAAGGTAACTGCTGAGAGTGTGGAATTGACTGGCCAACAAAATCAAAGAGTGGTTCTGCACAGAATGTTGCTCCCAACCAGTCAGTGGAGAGACCATATTTGGAAGAAGTATTTCATAGACGAAGGACTCACTGTCGTGTTTTTGAGTCTCCCTAGGTTAGTGTGCAGTTCCACGGTCATGGATCTCACTATAGAGGACCACATTTACCAGGAACTCAGGAAAAAAGAGAGAGGAGAGCTTTCTAAGCAAGTTGGACAAAAACGATCATACATAGGCAGTTTCTTGAAGAAACAAAACAACTGAAGATGTAAGGGTTTTACTAACTTTGTGGTCTCCTTTTTTTTTAAGTGCCCTCCTGATTCTAAGAATCCCCCTCCCGTAATACATGCCTAAAAAATAATATGTTCAGTACATGGCCGTTGCTTAGCCTCAGCAGCTTTCTTTACTTGTATGCTCTTGGTCGTGACTGGCAGAATGTGAAGCAACAGTTCAGCTACCACATGAGGTCTCACAGGGCTCTCCAGCAGGCCGCTGGTCCTGGAGGCCTAGTGCAGGCCTTTGCATAGGAGCCCATTTATGATCTAACCCTGAAGGGAGAGAAGCTCAGAGCCCACAAGGAAACGGTTTGTCCAGTGTCTTCTGAGTTTGAGGCATGGTGCTGGAGTCTGAGGATGCAAACATGATGAGTAAGATACATCCTCAGAACCTAGCTGTAATGTCTCATTTTCTAGCATGTCACATTTGTCACTTCTCTGGAATAATACTGAGGGCCCTGCTGCCATGGCCCCGTTGGTTCTGACAGCTCTATCTGTAGGCATGGTGTGTACTTTCATTGCACAAAGGAAGAAGGTGGACTGAGAAAACGGATATTAATAAGGTGACGTGCTTCTTTGAGAAACCAGCCCTCTGGTAAAGTATTCTTTATTCTCTAAATCATTTTTCACTAAATCTCAGTCATCTGGATGTCCTCATCCGAGCAGCCCTTTCTGTAGAGCAGGACTGCCGCTTAGGCAGCCGCAAGCAACAACATAGCTTCCTCAGGCACGTAAACCTCAGATTACAAAGCAGCCCGGTCATGTCAAAGCCATTTCTCAGAAGGCTTCAGCAGTGAGGTGTACCTCTCACTGGATGCTGCATAGTGCCACCAGAAAGCAGCTGGGCCCACCCTGGGCTCTGGTAGCACTTCTGGTTGGTCTGTATAGCAGGAAAGACTTCCTAGCATGCAGTTTTCTTTTAGAAATAATTGTGGAAGCTAGGCAGCTTCAAAATCTGTTTAGCGCGTGCGGGATTTTCATAGTTTATGGTGCGGTTGGAGGTGCTGGAACTGGCTGTTGTGGGATTCCCTCTCACATGTCCATTGTCTGGCTTTTGTTGCTACAGAACGTCTTTGTACATATTCAGACTGTGAATACACCTTTTTTAAAATAACTTTAAAACTCTCATTAAGATACAATTTTGATAGATGATTGCAGATTTTCCTGTATCTGTCAAATTAATAAAGACTGCATGAATCCAACTGTGTGAGTTTATGTACATGCAAGTATTAAAGTGTGTAACTGAGAACTCAGAAATTATCCAGCGTAAGATTAAAAATTCAAATGCATTCTTACCCTTATAATAAAGTGGCTTGGATTTTAGCAGGCTAGCTCTTTGAAGGGTGTAATGTTAAATCTGTTCTTAAAAAGCCTCAAAACAGCTATCCTTAATACTGAGTTTCTGAGAAATATTTTTTTCTAGAAATGTTAACTCACATTATGTAAAGACTGTCAGAACAAGTTATTATAAACCCAAAGGAGATGTATGTAATGCAGATACTTCCTGTGGTCCAGGAGTACCGTAATGAAAACCAAAGTATGTCGTGGACATTATGTTGAGTGAAATGAGTCAGTCACAAAAGGAGAAAAAGAATC